CCAGCTGGTTTTCAGTTTTGCTTTGGTCCAGTATTTCCTCACTATGCTCCCTTCCCCATGAGCTTACATGAATCTTAGAAGAGACTCTGATAGACTGTGATAGACTATGGGACTTTTGAAATTGGACTACATGTTTTTTGTATTATCATATAGTTACAAGCTTATGAGGGCCAGGAAGTGGAGTGTGATAGTTTGAATCTAATTGCCCCCCCCCATAAGCTCACATGGAGTGGTACTATTAGGAGGTGTGGATATTAGGGGTTATTTAATGTTATACTCCCTCAGACTCTGGAATTCCCTACCAAATGGATGGAAGAAGCTCTCTCAGACACACAGTTCCTGTGTACCTGCCCCCAACTCCCACTGTACATGACTTTAGGGCCAATACTAGTAAAAGTCATTGTGAAGGGAAACTAGACAACCCAGAACTCTTCCTTGGAAGCCAGGCTAGCAGGTGGTACTATGTGTGCTGAGACTCTAAGTTCTGGGCCCTGTGCTTCATGTCTCACCGTTAAGAAACATAAATTCAGGCAGTGGTGGCACACCCCTTTAATACCAGCACCCTGGAGGCAGAGGCAAGCAGATCTCTGAGTTCAAGGCTAGCCTGGTCTACAAAGTGAGTTCCAGGACAGCCAAGGCTACACAGAGAACCCCTGTTTTGGAAAAAACAAACAAATAAACAAATACCAAACAAACAAACAGAAAACCATAAATTCAAAGAAAAATTATTACAGATGCCAACAATCACTACACAGCTTGAAGCTTGAGTATAAGGATGTTGCTAAATTCAGGGACCTGTTCAAGATTACCAGAAGCTGTTCTGGGCTGAACCACTGGGTGGAAGAGGCTGAGAAGGTCCCAGAGTGAGGGTGTGGGTCCAGTATCCACTACAGTGGGGATCTTGCGTGACCCGGACAGCTAGAAAAGTTGTCTCTGCTCTGGGGAAATAAGGAAACCCACGTAGTAAAAAGCATCATGGACAGAACAAAGCCTGTGAGTGTGTGTCTGTGTGTGTATGGGTGGGGCATGCTGATCCTGGCACTGCAGGCCATGAAAAGGATTTCTATTGTTATTGCCTTGGAGCCCTGTAAAGCCTTTAAAAAGATTTAGCCAGGGGAGCAATCTGCTTAGCATTTTGCTTCAAAAAGGTTATCCCCAGCTGACGACGTGAGAACTGATTAAAGGGACTTGAGGAATGTGGTCATTTGAAATCCACAGGAGAGATGGCATGGATCAAGAGGTAATGGTGTAGGCAGAACACAGTGGGTACAACTGGGGATTAACTGAATGGCTGTGGGGTCACGGGGGAGTGTTCAGGATGGTCCATCACATGTGTCTGGCTGTCTCACTGGCATCGATTTAGGCCCCCAGTAGACAACAGAGAGCCAGGGAACAGTCTGGAAGAACCCGGCAAGCCAGTGGGCAGTGACCACACCGTTTCTGTTTATTGATAGAAAGCACTGAATTGAAAACATAAGAAAGTCTCCCAACCGGCCATGGGGACATGGGGTCACAGGATCTGGAAGGGCTTACAGGAGGAAATGACAACCATGCAGAAATGCCAAAACCACAAGCTAGACAGAAAGGCCAGAGTGAGCGAGGCGAAGAAGGCATAGGTGAACCACCTGCCACTACCACAACAAGGCCAACCCTTCAGAAGGTGTGTGGCAATGTCTGAAGACAGTTTCGGTTGTCCCTACGGGGAATGTGCTATCAACATCTACTGAATGGGGGCAGAACAGCCCATCCCTAGTAACAAAAAGGAGCCATCAGGGACAGCTGAAATACCGAGTGTGAGGCCTCCAGCCCAGCCATAGGACAAAGAGCTCTGCACCTGCCTAGAGCATAGAGTCACAAGGGGGTGACAAGGATTCAATCAGAGAGCCAAATGGATGCCAGGCCTTAAAAGGGCTGAAGGCATTGGACAAGGGCATTTGAACCCAATGCCAAGGATGCTGAGGAGCCAATGAAGGCTTCTACACCATGAAATGGGGGAAACAGGCAATCACCAAGCTTAGACTCAGGACTTAGTTTTTTCCTGCTATGTGCTCACAACACAGGCACTTCTTGTCCAGATGTATTTCACATAGATCAAGCAAGCAAGCAGCTTCACAGTGGACCTCAGCTGGGTCCCCCAATTTAACTCAATTCTGTTCAGTTTATTTATTTATGCTCATTTTGAGACAGGGTCTCGTATAACTTAGTTGGGCCTTGAATTACATGTATAACTGAGAATGACCTTGAACTCTGATTCTCCTGCCTCCACCTCCAGAGTGCTGGTATTACAGGCATGTACAACCACACCTGGCCCTCATTTAACTCAACTCCTACTCTGTACCTGGAGACAGCATCAGATCCCACAGACTGAGGGTGGAGTCCCCAGGACTTTACCCCTCCCTACTTACATTTCAGATGTCAATTAAGCCTCAGTTTGTTACTTTCTTTGGTGTGGGGTGTGTGTGTGTGTGTGTGTGTGTGCGCGCGCCTGAGCCTTTGCATACCCTACATGGAGGCCAGCAAGGGTAACAGGTATCCTACTCCACCTCTGTCCACCTTTTCCCTGAGGCAGGTAAACCTGGATCTAGGCTGGCAGCAAGCCCGGGGAGTCTCCAGTTCCAGCCATTCACAGCACTGATGTTACAAGCATACATGGCCACACCCAGCTTATTACATTGCTGGGCTCTGAACTCAGATCCTCTTGCTTGCTCAGTGAGCACCTTACCCATTGAGTCGTTTACCTCACCCAACCTAGTAGACTTATCTGTGGTCCTGACCTGTCTACTAGAAGTTCAGTTCCCATCACCCCTCTTTGGTGTTGATTGATATGCTCAAGTAGCTCACAGAACCTGGGGAAGCACACTTACTGGTTTATTAGTACAGATTTATAAAAGGTACAAACTAAGAGCTGCCTGGGGCAAGGAATGAGGAATAAGGGCATTGAGAAACTTCCATGCCCTGTCCTGTCCTGCTACCTTCATGAGCCTCCATGTATTCAGCTGGCTCAAAGCTCTGAACTCTGCCCTTGGGGCTTTATAGATTTCACTTAAGTATGGATGGAAATATAATTGGACAAAGGGTGTAACAGAATGCTGACAGATGAGGTGGGGAAGTCAGTGAGGCCTGCTTACGTAAATTCTTCCCTCAGTGTTCCTTCCTCTGTGAATGGGGCCCAATCTACTATCAGATACAGTAGACCTGAGAGCTGGGGGGATGTGTGTGTGTGTGTGTGTGTGTGTGTGTGTGTGTGTGTGTGTGTGTGTATCTTCTTTTTTTCAGAAGAGGTTTTGAATCGAGAGGTATCGAGGAAAGGGAAAGCAGAGAGGTAACAAAACCACCCTCAAAGGAAAAGCAGAAAGAGGGAGCTGGGAAGAGACTAAAAAGGAGGGAATGAAGCAGAGGCCTGGGGACCTGGATGTACAAGGAAGTTCCCTAGGAAACTGTGGGAGTTTGGATGGAGAGGCTTGCAGGGAATGACAGGAGAGGGCTGTCATTGTGACATAAGGGTCTAGGAGATGACATCTGATTTGACACAGACTCAGGCTGGAAGCCCAAAGTATCCACTTTGCTCACACACATGCTGAGTGGAATGGGATCCTGGAGCAAGTTGGAGGAGTAGAACCCTGCGTACAGATGGGTGGGCGGACTTCTCATGAGGGATGCCAGGCTATGGGACAAGGAAGGGGGCCTAGTATCCAGCCAGTGCCCCACACCCCAGACCCATCAGAGTGTCTTTAATGGCCATAGATATGCCACCCAGGATGGTCACAGACCTTCATGTGGTCCCAGGCAGTTCAGACATCCTCTCTAAGCCTGGTCAGTAAAGCTCATCTGTCTAGTCAGACTGAGGGGATGATTAAGAAATAAGGGAGAGCTGGGTGGTGGTGGTGCACGCCTTTAATCCCAGAGCTTGGGAGGAAGAGGCAGGCAGATCTCTGTGAGTCTGTGAGTTCGAGACCAGCCTAGTCTACAAGAGCTAGTTCCAGGACAGCCTCCAAAACCACAGAGAAACCCTGCCTCAAAAAAAAAAAAAAGAAAGAAAGAAAGAAAGAAAGAAAAGAAAGAAAGAAGGGAGGGAGGGACCCAACTGAGGTGGCAAAAGCCTATAAACCCAGTATTTGGGAGGCTGAGACAGGGGAATTGTGTGGTCCAGGCCAGCCAGAGCTACTTAAGTGTGGCTCCTGTTTCAAAAGGGAGGAGAGGGAATCATTGCTCAATAGGAAGAGTGTATACCTAGGTCATACAAAACCTTGGGTTCGATCTTGAGAACTTCATGATCTTGGTATAGTGGACACACCAGTGATCCCAGCACTTAGGAAACAGAGGGATATCCTTGGCTACATCTTGGATTTGAAGCAAGTCTGAGCTACCTGAAACACTGTCTCAAAACAAACAAAAATAAAGAGGCCAGCCCCTTGGCCACAGTTGCCACTGCTGCAGATTTTCCTGTTAGTGGACACTGCAGTTGCATCTCTGGGAGGGGTCATGGTCTTCCAGGTCCTCAATGCCTTGTCTGGGTGAATGTAGTTAGCCTAGCCTTTGTCGTTTGGCTGAACACCTGCAGTTGTCTTACCTCCTCAGCCAGAAAATGCAACCACATGGGGTCCCACTTGCAGTTTTATTCAGCCGAATTAGAGGCACAGTCGGAAATCTGCCACATCCTGCGGGAGGGAGTGTGTGTGGAAGGAGTAGGGGTGTGTGTGTGGCGGGGGGTGGGGGGGTGGTGTTGAGCCACAGATCTTGAAAACACTGAAGAAGGCTCCAGTGAAAGCCCAGCTGCTGAGCTCTTGAATGTGCCACGCCCTCTCCTTCAAAAGGATAACATCTTAAAGGGTTCTGTTTGGTTTTCCTGTGTCGCTGAAAAGTAACAAAAAACCCAGGCATAGTGACAATTGGCTAACACCTGTTGAGGGCCCCCTGTGGGCCAAGATTTGGGAAGGCATCCAAATCTCTGTTAGCGCTTTAATCTTCCCTAGGTGGCTATTGAGGCTCAGAGAGGGTGAGCAGCTGGCTGGGGGTGTGACCGGTGAGAACCCTCTAGAGCTAGGATCTGAACCAGGGCAAACGGGTGCCCAGGACGAACAGATTCCACCACCAATCACGGCATGAAGCATTACTATGGGCACCCCTCTGTGGACTCCTTGTGAGACTCTCTGAAACCGTGTCCTCCCAGGATTGTCAAAGAAAACAGGAAGCCCCTCCTGGGGAGGCTCACCCCCGCCCCATCCCCACAAGCCAGGAAGTGACTGGCAGAAAGATAGACACCTAGCAAGGCCAGGAGCACCCGGGCTGGGAGCCTGGAGCCATCATCGGGCGGAGCCCGGAGCCAAGTCCCCTGGGGTCCAAGGGCTGCATTCCTCCCAGGTCTGCAGAGGCCACCGCTTAAAGGCGCAGAGGAGCAGCTGGGAACGAGAACAAAGCGGCCAGGCCCCCCTCGGAGGAAGGAAGGAGCGAGCCCCAGGAAGCAGCTGATAACGCTAAGCTCAGCTTGTTTTTTCCTCTGCTCAACAGTTCTCCTGCCACGGCAAACAAAAGATGTACGTTCTGATTCCCTCCCGTGTTTGGATTGCGCCGCTTCTGCTTTCTGATGAGCTGGGGGAGAGGCATCCCGGGCAGCTTCTGGCTCGCCTTGCCAGATGATGGCAGAGTCCGCCCTGCCTGTCCCCAGCCTAGACGCCTAGCTGCACCAGGCAGGGCATCGCTTTTGACGATGGAATGTGATGTAGTGAGTGCTGCGGGTTGACTCGTGACCTAGGCTTTGAAGGAACTGCAGCTCAGGACATGTAAAACTGTTTAGATGGGAACCCTGGCCTTTCTCAGCTCTATCGAGAGGCCCCGCCCCGCTATCGTCTCAGCCAAAGTCACAACCCACTATTGTGCAAGGGCCGCCTGGGAACACACAAGGTGCAGTCTGCCCTTCCCGGATCGTGCCACCTTTCTCCCGTGGTTTAGGGCAATAGTAATAGAGGACAGGCGAAGAACACCTTCAGGGTCAACTGTGTGTGACAGGTGGGTCTGAGCAATCCTCCCAGTTTGCTGAACTACAGTGACTTCCTACTGGGGACGGTGAGGGAGGGAGTAGACCTTGCCAGCGTCCTAAACCCTGGTCCCAGGCAGACTGAGGTGCGATGGCAATGCTGGGTATGCTTTGTTTTGCCTGAGCAGGCGTGGAACGTGTGGCTATGCCAAATGGCAGCTGTAAAGCCAACAGCAAATACACACAAGGCTTCCACTGAGGTCTGTGGGGCCGCTGACTCTAGCGGGATCCCTACAGCCCGGGACAATGACAGTTCTGGTCTCTCGGACCAAGGGACTGTTTTGATGCCAGAGACTAACGAGCAGGAAGATTTGTCACCACAGGAGTTAAGAGAGCAGCAAGAGACCAGCGTGGTTGGACCCTGCTCCCTGCTGCCTGGCGTTCACTCCGCCCACCCCACTCTGAGGAGGTAGTTCACATGCAAAAGACAAATGTCTTAAAAGGCAGCCAACTAATTTTTTCAGCTGGAGGCTGTAATGGAATGTGGGTGTCTGGCATGCGCCTTTGCCTCTGCTTCCATTTTCCTCAGGGAAATACCTCCTGGAGGGCTCTTCAGATCCCACATTTGAATGACTCTAAGGCTACCCCAAAGGTGATCTTGTGCTCCTTTTGCTACACCAAGGGCCCAAGGACTGCACAGAACAACTCGTTTGTTTGTGGTTTTTGTTTTCTGACACAAGGTTTCATGTAGCTCAGGCTGGCCCCAAACTCACTATGTAGACAAGGCTGGTCTTGAAATTCTGGTTCTCCCAGGTGCTAGGATAACAGGTGTGTATCACCATGCCTGGCTGAGGGGACAATTATTCATGTGTTTCCTTGGGGAGGGAGAAAGTTTGTCTCAGAGTGTACCTCAGGGTCTAGTTTCCACGTCCCTGGGTGGGACAGGAGAGCCAGCCTAGTGAGCAAAGACAGGCAAATCGCAGTAGAATGCAGGGAATCGTTTCTGGCAGTGGTAGCACACACCTTTAATCCCAGCACTGAGAGGCAGGTGCAGGCAGATCTCTGAGTTCAAGGCCAGCCTGGTGTACAGAGGGAGTTCCAGGACAGCCAAGGCTACACAGAGAAACCCTGTCTTGGGGAGGAGAAGAAGAACGCAGGGAAGCATCTTACAATAAAAATGGATGGGTCTTGGGACTGAAGAAGAGCTACTTTACCCATTTCCACAGGTATTGTAATGTAGGGGTTAACCATGCAGGCTCAGGGCTGGGGATAAAACTCCAAAGTCAAACTTGAGGGCCTGGGTTCAAAGTCCAGTGTTGCTGCTGCTGCTGCTGAGATATATGTCTGTTGGGATGGAGTGTAGCTCAGTGTTAAAGCATGTGCTCAGCCTTACATTTGATTCCCAGAACCATATTAATATAACAGACAGGTGTGGCGGCACACGTAGGCATTTGGGAAGAAAAGTCAGGAGGATCAGGAATTCAAGACCAGGCCAGCCTGGGCTACATAAGACCCTTTATTAAAAAAAAAAAAAAAAAAAAAAAGTAAAAAACACCAAATAAGCAAAATACAGGCTTGTGTTGGAAATTTAGGGGGGTGACTTTCAATATTTAACATCCTTTTTTTGTGGCAGGGGACTCCTAGTTTTTCAAGACAGGATCTGTCTTGGAACTTGCTCTGTACACCAGGCTGGCCTTGAATTCACAGAGATCCACCTGCCTCTGCCTCCTGAGTGCTGGAATTAAAGGTGTGTGCCACCACACCCAGCTAATATTTAATATATTTTGATTCTGTTTTCTGAGCTGCAAAATGAGGAGAAATGGCTGTCTCATAGGGTCATTGTGAAGAATAAATAAGAAATGAGTTTCATATAAGCACTTAAACTATTTAGCAAGTAATAAGTGCTAAGTATTATTTTCATTTTCCCTCTTAGCTTGCTTCATAATTACTTGTGCATGGTAGCCAGTGCTCTGTGAGACACCAATGGGATAATGACTAGTGAGTGTCAGGTAGGGGAGAGTAAGGCCCTAGAAGGAACAGGATTGCCTGTGCTTGATATTCTTGAAGCTAGGTGAAAGGTACAGTCTATTTTAGACAGGCTTCTTCTGGAATGTTTGAAATTTCCCATAATTCCTTTTTTGTTTGTTTTTTAAATAGAAGAGTTGTATAAAAAGTAGAGGAAGGAGGGCTGGAGAGACAGCTTAGTGTTTACGAGCACTGGCTGGTCTTCCAGAAGACCCAGCTTCAATTCCCAGCACCCACATGGCAGCTCACAACTGTCTGCAACTCCAGTTCCAGGGGATCTGACACCCTCACACAGACATATATACAGGGAGGCAAAACACCAATGCACATAAATTTAAAACCTATAAATAAAAATCTCAAAACGGTGTCACGGTGACCTGAGTATAAAGCTTAGGACTCAGCATTATTAAAAAAAAAAAAGTAGAGTATAGGCATTAAAGAGATGAGCTTGGGACTTTGTTTTTTTAATGGGACCTGACTATTAGACCAGGCTGGCCTCAGACTCAAAGAGATCTGTCTGCCTCTGCATCCTGAGTGCTGCCATTAAATTTGGGGACATCAACAAGGTGAAAATGATGAAGCACATTCACTCTGCTAAATTAAAAATAATAAAAGGAAAAAAATAATAAAAGGTTTAAAAGTTTAAGAAGCAGGGGAAAATGGAAGACAGGATGTAACCAAATTATATAAAGCAATTGGTTTCTGGTTTGAGGAGTCCATTCAAAACCATCACACGGGATGCCAAGAGCAATGCCTCAGTCCACCACTGGAGAAACTTCATCTTGCCAGGTACTGTCCCACTGGCCTCAAAGCCTCCATACAGCCTCTCCCTTGGGCCACCCCTGCCACAACTCATCAAGGCCAAGGCACCTTACCTTCCTCAGCAGTATGAAACATGTGTGCAGTGGTTGAATGCTAAGTCTAGAAATGCAGGTGGGTTAGCTTTGGGGAGAAATGTTTGACTGTTTGGGAGGTGGGAGTGACTTAGATTCTCACTCCCGTCTCTCTTGTGACCAGTCCCTCATTGTGTCCTTTTCAGAAGAGTCTATGAAGTCTGATGAATCAGCAGCCAGGGTACAGTCTATTTTCCAAATAACACAAGAAAGTTGAGATATTTTCATACCCAGGACCTGTGAAATACTCACTCTCCAGAGTTTTATCATTGACACTTTGGTTACTTCATTGAGCTGAAATTTAAAAGAAAATCTGCCCATGGAAAGTTTGTTGTTTTTTGTTTTTTTTTTAATTAAAGATTTTTAAATGTATGTAAATGGGTGTTTTGCCTGGATATATGTCTGTGCACCACATGATTGCCTGGTACTCAGGGAGGCCAGAAGAGGACATTCCCTGGGACTGGAGTTGTGGAGGGTTGTGAGTCACCTTGTGGGTACTGGGAATTAAACCCGGGTCCTCTGGAAGAATAACCAGTGTTCTTAGTCGCTGAGCTATCTTTCCAGCTCCAAGTTGACTGCTTTCAACACTCATGGAGATGCACAAATGCTACCAAAGTCAATCCCAGGACATTTCTTTGCCCTGCCACCAAGAAACCTCGTGCCTTTAGCAGTCGCTTTCATTCCCTTCCCCTCCTAAGCAGCTAACAGTCTATTTCCTGTCTGGGATTGTCTATTTTGGACATTTGGTATGAATATTCTTATATAAAATATAGTCATTTGCGACTGGCTTCCTTTGTTGAACATCAGGTTTTCAAGGTCCATCAATGTCATAGTAATTGCTGATACTTTGTATAACCATTCAACATCCAATTGTCTGTCATTAATAGACAACTAGATTTGTTTATCATATGTGTATCTATGTAGCCATCTTCCATCCATTTAATCCATTATGTGTCAGTTCTGTTTCCAAGCAAGCCTCTTCCCCTTTTCCCAACTCCTAGCATCTTCTGCTTGCTCACCTGTCACGCCACACTACTACTCAAAGGTACATCAAATGTGGAAAGCTGGTATCTTAGACGTCTGGCTTCTACATAGGGGAAGGCAGGGAAAGGGAGAGACGAGGAATGGATTTTACTACATTGGCACAGAATTTCTCAATCTCATCCACACCTCTAACTGTAACATTCCCCCACCCAGACCTTAGCACAATGGACTCTGTGATGGAAGCACCATTCACGCCATAAGAGCACCACCTGCCAAAACAGAAAAAAAAAAAAAGAAAGATGTAATCCATCAAAATCTATAGACCTGAGGCAGTCTCTAAATGTACTAATGTTGCTTTCTGGCTTCTGTAGTTTCACTGCTGGCTAACTGTTCTTGCTCACTGAAGTATGACAACCCAGGATATGGATTTTGTGCTTAAAAGTTCACTCTGAGAAAGGCTCAGGGCTACACCCAGTGTAGTCACTAAACAAGACTTTCTATTTGCTTAAACCTATGTCAGAACAGTCTTCTCTAGTGAATGCCCTTCTTCATAACTCCAGATCCCACATCGGTGATAACATGTCACAGACTCACAGATTTTACATTCCAGAAATACAGATTCCTCAAAAGTCCCTGGATATTTTTCCACATTTCCCTGATCCTATGTCTTGCAATGCTGCTTACATGGATGGCCTTTCACGTGTGACAGATCCACTCTCTCACCATGATACGTCTCTGAGGGTTACCCACAACACACACACACACACACACACACACACACACACACACACACACACACTTACTTTATCCTTGCTCCACATTCCATTTTACCATTTACTGTGTTGAATTGACCTTTTGACCTGCCTGGCTCCCCAGTCTGAATTATCAAGGGCCGAGCGAACTTCCAATGCCTTGATATCCTGGGAACTCATTGCAGAGTATGGCTTAATAAGTGCCTGCTGCACACTGACCTGGAAAATATCTGCTTGCTGTTGTTCACTTTACAATCACTGAGTTGGATGTGCACCAAGGAAAACTCTGTGCTAAGTGTCTGGGTTTGGATACAAAGATGAATGAGGCCATTCCGAGCCTCAGAGACGCCCACAGAACCCTCTTGTCTGGACAAATGCAAAATCAGACGGGATGCCAGGATGACAAATGTAAACTGGGACTGTCCCAGGCAAACTGGACTACATGGACACTCAAATGATATGCTAGCTGTGGTGACAACAGCAATGTTATGCTGATTCATGCCTGCTTTTAGACTCAGCCATTGCCAGATTTTTTTTTTTTTTTTTTTTTTTTTTTTTTTTTTTTTTTTTTTAATAAGGGTCTCACTATGTAGCCCTGGCTGGCCTGGAACTCTGTGTACATCTGGCTGGTCCCAAACTCACAGAGATCTGCTGTTCCTCTGCTTCCCAAGAGCTGTGTGTACATCACTATATCTGGTTTGTGTGATGCTGGGAATCATACATGGTCTTAATACATGCTAGGCAAGCTACATACTCAGATTTCTGAGTTATTTAAAATATTTTCATTGATTTGTTGAGAATTTCATGCAATCTATTGTGGTCATATTCACCTCCCTCTGTTCTTCTTAACTCCTCCCAAATACAGCATAACTCCTGGTCCCCTCCTTTATGTCCTCTTTGTTATTTTTTGAGACAAGGTCTCACTATGTAGTCCTGGTTAGCCTGGAACTTGGTATGTAGACCAGGCTGGTCTTAAACTGGAGAGATCTACCTGCCTCTGCCTTCTGGATTCTGGAATTAAAGGTGTGAACAGCCATATCTGACTTTCTTTTATCTTTTTTCCATTCTTCTTTCCCTCCCTTCCTTCCTTTCTTTCTGTTATTTTTCTAATCCACTGTCTCAGTTGCCAGGGTTTTTGTTGTAGTTGTTGCTGTTATGGTGAGGAGACATCATAACTTGTAGAAAGCATATAATGGGGGGGGGCGTGCTTACAACTTCAGAGGGTTAGTCTATCATCATCACGGTGGGGAACATGGTGGCAGGCACGATGCTCTAGAGAAGTACCCGAGAGATATGTCCTGGTTCACAGACAGCAGGCAGAGAGACACTGGGTCAGACATGGGCTTTTGAAACCTCAAAGCTCATCCCCAGTGACACACTTTCTCTCACAAGGTCACACCTCCTACTTATTCTAATCCTCAAACAACAGTTCCACTACCTGGTGACTAAGCATTCAAATATATGAGCCTATGGGGGCCATTCTCATTCAAACCACCATACCCACCAAGTTTAGTGTGTTGCCCCTACACTCCTGGGTGTCAGGCTGTTCACTGGGGCCCGGTCTACCTTGCAGGGGCCACACCTTTGAAGAAAACTGACTCTCCGCCCACGAAGCTGTCAACTGCCCATAGCTCCTCAGCTAGCAGCAGAGCATTAGAACTGTTCTGGAAGTTGAGTGCTAGAATGTTGAGTGGCTGGATCTTGTGCAGGTGTTATGCAGGCAGCCATAGCTACTGTGAGGTCATGAGAGCAGCAACCTTGTCACGTCTGCAAGACACTGTTTTGCTTCAGTCCTCCCTGACTCTAACTCTCAGCTTTAAGAATTTTAAGATGAGAAGAAGCATAGAGAAAGAAAAGAATGCATCTCAGAAGCTTGTGGACACAGGAGGTAGAGGAGGCTCAGCTCAGCTCTGGGTAACACTGTCCAGGCATCTGCCTTGGCTTAGGAGGACACTACTCCATACAGCCAACATCATCTCATTCAAATGATTTCTTACAAAACACAGCGTTGGAATGGGAGTGTTGGCAGGCTTTCTCTTTCACAGAGCAGCTGTTCCCTGTAAGCTTTTCCTGCAATGTCACAGTTTTATTTGAAACAGTCACAACAACAGATGCTTTCCAAGGGGGCTTTACTGGGTGAAGCCGCTGCTGGCAATGGCCCAAGATAGCATTTTTTTTCCCCTGAGGAAGTTTGTCAATATTTCATCTTGTAGGACCAAAGTGTACTGGCTTGCTTTCTCTTTTCTTCCTTCCTTCCTTCTCTGATTGGGCTAAATTGGCTGGCTAGCAATTTAGTATTCTGGTTTGCATCAGTGGGCTCAGAGTTATATTATTATTATTATCTGTTGTGTTTGTTTCTGTTTTTCAAGACAGGTTTTTGGAAAGTTTCTACACCCCATAAGTCTCTCCGCCCATGCAGCAATCCAAATCAGACCAAATCAAACTGAATTAGAAAAAGCCCATGTTTAATGGATACAGCACTCCTGGATGGCCTTCCAGCCCCCCAGAGAGGAGACAGAAAATGGAAGATCAAGAAAACCACAAGTTCGTTTCTGGGGGACAGTTTAAATACCCTTGGGAGAGGTCTTGAGTATCTCTGGGGGAGGAGCCATCATTTGGCAGGCTTTCTGAGATGCAGCAGAGTTTGGAGGGAGATAGAGGAGGGGTTTGGGTGGAACCTCCACCATAACATCCCAGACTCTGTGGGTATATGGATACCAGGGGCTGGGGTGGAGCTTTCACCCATAACAGTTTTCTCTGTGTAGACCTGGCTGTCCTGTAGAGTCACTGGCCTTGAACTCACAGGGATCCACTGTCTCTGCCTCCCGAGTGCAAGTGCTGGGATTAAAGGCTTGAGTCACCACCACCAGGCTTCATTGTTGTTGTTGAGACAGGTCTCACACTACCCAGTTTATTAATTACCTTTCTGTTGTTGTGATAAAATACTATGACCAAAAGCAATGGCAGTAAGAAAAGGTTTGTTTTGGCTTATGGTTCCAGGGAGATAGAGCCCATCATGGCCCAGAAGGCAGAGCAAAAATCAGGAGAATCATATTTCATCTGCACTAAATGGCAAGGTTATAGATCTTCAAAGCGGACTCCACTGACATACTTCCTAAAGGTTCCAAAACCTCTTCTAAACAGCACCACCAACTGGAGACAAACAGTAACTACAGAAACCTATGGGGGAGCATTGCTCATTCAAACCATCATACCCAGGCTGGTCTGGGACTCCATGTAGCCAAGAATGACTTTGATCCTTCTACTTGTACCTCTCCAGTGCTGGGATTACAGTGTGCCTCACCAGTCTGTGGCTATAGGTTCTGGGGACTGAGCAGTGCCTCATACCTACTAGGCAAGAGCATTAACTGAGCCACTCCCAGTTTCCCCAAGGAATCCTACTCCTTTAATCCTAGAACTTGTGAGGCAGAGACAGGGAGTCTTCATGAGTTTGAGGTCAGCCTGATCTACATAGTGGGTTCTAGGCCAGCCAGGGCTATATAGTGACACTTTGTCTCAACAAGAACAACAACAAGATACATTTTAAATTGTGTCTGTGTCTGTGTCTGTGTAGGTGACTTCCCATACATGCAGAGACCAGAAGAGGAAGCTGGGTACCCTGCAACTGAAGACACTGGTTCTTGGGAGCTAGGAGTCAAAGTTAGGTGCTCTGGGAGTGCCTGTGTGCTCTTATGACTCAGCCATTCTCCAGCCCTCAGAGCCATTCTTTATGTCATTAAATTGTCTTTGCAACTGAACTGGAATGTGTGAAGGGTTGCCACATACTTCATATTGTTAGGAGGCTTCTTGCTAATGTTTCCCGGCTGCCTGTACTACCATCTCCTTTCCCACAGAGAAAAGTCCGAGGGCCTAGCAAACACCCTTTCTTCAAAACTATCAATCTCCCTGGCCCAGGGGGCCAGTGTAGTGGACAATCCTGATTGTGTCAGGTCCTTCAGTGGATTATGCTGGGCATAAATGATATTGATGTAGTCAAGGATTCCTCCAGAGGTCTGGGTGATGGGATTCCATGTCCAAGCTAAGTTCTTCCAAAGATTTGCATGAGTGGGTGCTTCCCCCATGGAACGGCAGGAAAAAACGGTAGAAATGGTCTCTCTGCAGAACCGAATGACCCCAATGGGCCAACAGGATTGTGGGAAGAGGAACCCACTGAACTGGAGTGTATTTGTTATTGTAGATTGTTCTCTGCCAGATGGCAGCAGGCAGTGGGAGCAGGGAGTCTCCGCTGTCTCGGTTCTCCATGGTGCCTAGCTTCTTCTTGATGAAGGGCCCCAGTGACAGCCTCCTCAAAGAGAAGTGATAATCCGAAGGGACATTCCTCTCACAGACAGTTTCAAAGGCAGGTGAGCTCACAGCCTGGACACATTTTCTTTACCCCATGGTAATCAGTGGGGTCACGGTTTTCACTGGGGCAAGGAGAAGGAACACTGGTTTATTTTGATAAAGGAAGGCAGGAGTCTGCCATTACCGTGTCTTTTGTGAGTTACACAAAGCCCCCATCCTACCGCTGCTCAGTGAGCAGAGAATGGGACCTTTGTGGTATGCCCAGAAAATGAGCGTTTCAAATTCTTAGTAAATACTCATTTTAGTGTCCTTTGTTTGTATTCCTCTTTCCCTTGTCTTCCAGCATTGTCTGCTTCTTTGGGGTGGGGGCTAGATATTTTTGTTTTGTTTTGTTTTGTTTTTTGTTTTTCGAGACTGGGTTTCTCTGTGGCTTTTTGAGGGGGGGCTGGATTTAAAGCTGGAAATAGAAGTTCTCCCCTTTCCCCTAAATAGTGTTTCAGGGGTTGACAGCCTCAGTGGGAAGCTCCCCTCATGGTCTACTTGAGACCCCACCTCCTGTTTTCCTGGTAATGCTAGACAAATAAATATCAGCTTTGCCACTCCTTGGATTCAAATTGCCAAATAAAAAGTGGAGAGGTGGGGGTGGGTGGGGCTGGTGTTAAACTCCCCTCTCAGCTCTCAGCCTTAGGTGAGACTAGCTGTGAGCTTGAGGCTAGCCAGGGCTACACAGTGTGACCCTGACTCAATAAATAAAGAAGTAAGAAGGAAAGTTGAAAGGATCTGAGCTTTGTTGAGATCCAGTGATCTCAACTACCACTCTGTTTTTCTTTTTGGTTTTTTAAGACAAGGTTTCTCTCTGTAGCGCTGGCTGTCCTGAAACTCGCTCTGTAGACCAGACTGGCCTCAAACTCACCGAGATCCATCCACCTGTCTCTGCCTCACAGAGATCCATCTGCCTCTGCCTCCGGAGTGCTGGGATCAAAGGTACTAGCCATCATGCCAGGCTGAGAAAGCTACTTCTTAGTCTACGCTCTCTAAGCTCCAGCTTTGTCCCTGACATGCTAAATTACCCAAAACACAACACAGGACTGTCCTCTCCTTTTGAAGGTAAATCCTGCTGCACCTATCACCTGGTAAGGGACTGCCCACCCAACCCGCTCCACAAAGCTGGTTGCCCTGAATCATGTTAGGGAAATGAGAGGAATAGGATATCCTTTTTTTTTTTTTTTTTGGTGGGGGGTCGTGTTTTGAGACATGGTTTCTCTGGGGCTTTGAAGGCTGTCCTGGAACTAGCTCTTGTAGACCAGGCTGGTCTTGAACTCACAGAGATCTGCCTGCCTCTGCCTCCCCAGTGCTGGGACTAAAGGCGTGTGTCACCACTGCCCAGCGGAATAATTACCCTTAATGGGACTTCCCGTCCCAGGAAGCTCTTCATGCAGACCCTTGTGGAGCTTCCATCATGAGGTATGGAGGCACTTTCCTGCTTTCCTGAGATATGCAGAAAATGTGACTCCTTCTTTTTCATCTTTGTCTTTCGGATGCTGGCCAAAGCCTGGGCATGCTTTCCCAGACAGCTGTGCTTTCTCACTTCCTCTCTGAAGTTCTCCATCTGCCACCATTTCTGCCATGCAGCAGCCCGCCCACTAGATAGTGCTGCTTGGACCAGATGGCTGCTTGGACCAAACTGCAACAGGCATGGCTTTCTCTCCTCGCCTTCTCTAGCTCCCTTCTGCTGAGATGCACAGCTTGCCTGCCCTGTTGTTTTTTCTTTCAAACTCTGGAATAATTGTTCTTGAATGTTTTAGTTTGCTCTCTGTTGCTGTACTAAACACTCTGAATAAAAGTAACTAGAGACAGGGCAGGGAACGGGAGGAGAAGAGGGAGGGGAAACTCTGGTCGGGTTATAAAATAAATGGAAAACATTTAATCAAAAAAAAAAAGGGTAACTTGGGAAAGAAAGAGTTTTATTTCTACTCACAGTCTGTCATTGAGGGAAGTCAGGGCAAGAACTCAAGCAGACAGCATGGAGGAACTCTGCTTGCTCTTGGGCTTCTGCTTTCTTAGATAACCCAGGCCCACCAATCCCAGCGGTGGTACCGCCCACAGTGAGGCTAACCCCACCTACATCAATTAACAATCAAGACTTCTAGCTAGGCACCAGTGGTGACACATACCTGTAATCCCTGCAGAGGCAGGTTATCTCTGTGAGTTCAAGGCCAGTCTGGTCCCTAGAACAAGTTCCAGAACAGCCAAGGCTACACAGAGAAACCCTGTCTCAAAAAACCAAAATAAATAAATAACATAACATAAAACAACCAAGACGTCTCCACAGACATACTCACAGGACAATCTGATCTAGAAATTTCTCTGCTGAGACTTTCCTCTTAGAGAACTCCAGAAATGGACTAAGAAGGAAGGTTGATGATCTCATTAGTTTTAATTGTTAATTTATCACAGCTTAAATCCTTCTGTTGGTGAGACTGAGAATCCAAAAAAGGAATTCCTATTTCTCTGGTAACAAAAGGGATGGATTATAATATTTTAGCGATATTTCAGATTACCGACTAATTTTCAATTTAACCAACAGTTTCTTTTCCCTCTTTGGGGATGATTTATTGTCACAATATTCAAACATTTAAAACTCACTTGTTATTTAGATTTAGGCTCGCATTCAGTCCAGACCGGCTTCAAACTATCACCAAGGATGACTTGAACTTCTGACCCTCCTGATTCCATCTCTGGAATTCTGGAACTCTAGGCCTTCACCATCAAGCCTGTCCTTGTCCGTTATGTCTTTCCTTTTATTATTGTGGTGTGTGTGTGTGTGTGATCTACGAATTGTGTATTTGTATGTGTCAGTGAGTGGGTGCATGTGAATGCCACAGAAGGGTGGGAGGTGCCCTGCTCTATCATGCCCCACCTTGTTCCCTGGGGACAGGGTCTCTCACAGATCTTAGAGTCCCTGTTTTTCAGCTAGGCTGGCTGGCCAACAAGCCCCATGGATCCTCCTGTCTTTCCTTGCCCCTGCTCTGTAATTGGAAGTTTCTGTCCTACCAACCTGCTTCCAAATAACCACACTGAGTCTTAATATTAATTATAAATGCTCAGCCGATAGCTCAGGCTTGTTACTAGCTAAATTTTACACTTACATTAACCCATCTTTCTTATATTTGCTTTGTCACGTGGCTCATGGCTTGTTACCTCATTTTCTACACATTCTGCTTTCTTGGGGGCTGGCTGACTGGTGTCTCCCCGACTCTGCACTTCCTCATCCCATCATTCCCAGTTTGGCTTTCCTGCCTAGCTACTGGCCTGTCAGCTTTGTATTAAGCAATGAGAGTAATATATATTCACAGTGTACAGAAGGACTATTGCACAGCACTGCTCCACCCCAGCACTGAAGTCATAGCCATTCCCTGCCTCTGTATGAATGTTGGGGATCTGAACTCGGGTCCTCATGCCTCTGTAGCAAGGTTTCTTGCCCAGTGAGCCATCATCCCAGCCCCAGTTATGTCTTAATAAAGCTGGATGGTAGGGAGAAATTAATACAAATAATTTAATTTAATAATAATTTAATACAAAGAAATTAATACAAATAAAGACAAGCAGCCCAATTTATAAAATGAATGAAAGAGGACCAAGGATGAGGCACATTTGATGGAGTGCTTGCTTAGCTCACAGATTTGAGCCCCAGTACCTACCATGTTGACGGGGATCAAACTGGTTAGGTTTTTGTCAGTGTGACCCAACTAGAGTTACCTGGGAAGAGGAAACCTCAGTTGAGGAATTACCTCCATCAGAGGTGTGGGTATCACTGTACAGCATTTTCTTGATTAATGATTAATACGGGAGGCCCCCAGTCCACGATGGACAGTGCTAACCCTGGGCAGGCAGTTCTGGGGTTCTATATGAAAGCAGGCTGAGCAAGCTATAAGGAGCAAGCCAATCAGCAGCACTCCTTTGTGGCTTCTGCTTCAGTTCTTGTCTTGAGTTCTTGCCTTGGCTTCTCTTGATGAGGCCCAGTGTCTTAGTTAGGGTTCTATTGCTGTGAAGAGACACCATGACCATGACAACTCTTATAAAGGAAAATATTTAACTGAGGTGGCAGCTTACAGTTTCAGAGGTTTACATGGAGTTGAGGGTTCTACATCTTTTTTTTTTTTTTTTTTTTTTTTTTTTTTTTCTTTGCGGAGGGTAAGGGGAGGTTTTCAAGACATGATTTCTCTGTGTAGCCCTGGCTGTCCTGGAACTTGCTCTGTAGACCAGGCTGGACTCAGATTCACAGAGATCCGCCTGCCTCTGCCTCCTGAGTGCTGGGATTAAAGGTGATTGCCAGCACCACCTAGCAAGAATTTTTAAATTTGTTTGACCATTTCATACTTGTGTACAATGTAGCATGTTCATGTCACCCACACTGCTTCAAACTCCTCTAACATATCTCCCTTCAGACTTC